TTCATCGGAGCCAGGAGCCTGCCCTGCCCTGGGGATGGCCCGCTGGTACTAAGCGGGGGCGTGGGGAGTGGGCGCCCCAGGGGTGGCCGCGTGTCGGGCGGGGTGGCAGGAGCGCAGGCAACGCGCCGCGGCTCGGTGCCGGGCTGGGAGGAAGCGACCTGAGTGACCACCGGAGACAGCTGGCCACCGCCGGGGTGCGGGGCGCCTGAATCCGGCATAAAAAAGGGGGGAAAAAAAGAAAGTAGGTCCAAGGCGCCTGCGCTGGAGACGCGGGAGGCCCACAGGCGCAAACGTGCGGGAAGCAGAGCGCCCCAGTGCCATTCGGCGCCTGCGTGACCTTGACGCTTTGCGCACCTTCCGGGGCTCCCCACGCTCGCGGGGGTAACCAAGGCGAGGGAAGGCTGCCGGGCCACGCGGACACCGGCCTCTCCTGGTTGGGGGGCCTTACCCAGCCCCAAACCCGAGCTCCGGTCATCAGCGGGAAACCGAAGTGGCCCGGGGGATCGCATTTCAAAAGCTCAGACGGACTGGTGGGGCGGGGTGGGGAGACGGGAGTAGTGGACAGCCGCACGGACCGCACCCAATGTACCTGTCCAGGTTCCGACGTCCCCCCCTCTTAGCTGCTCCCCTCACCCCTGTTCCAAGGACTTCTCCCAAACCGAGTGGGCCGGGACACGAGGGCCGCCCGCGGTCCCCACAGTCTGGGGGCAGAAAACGCCTTGGGTTGGGGTCACAGGCGCTCTTTCAGTTGCTAGCAGGACGGGGACTTGGCCTACAGCTGTCCAGGCTGCTGGGACCTGGGCCCGCGGCCGCACAACAAGGCACCACCCTAGGTCTCAGCACCCCTTTTTCTAGCTCCTCGGTGCAGCCTTTGGCCCCTAGCTGAGTCCAGCTTGGGGCCACAGTTTGAATGCAAAGGGCAGGAAAAACCCAGTGTGTGTGGGGTTCCAGAAGCCGGCCTGAGGGTCTCAGCCGCAAAGAGCAAACTACCCGTGTGCAGGCAGAATCCCCGCACCGGCCGGGCCCTGGGGCCTGGGAAGACCGGACACAGCACATCCTGGCAGCGCGGGAAGACCTGAGGTCGCTGGAGGGGAGCCTGGGGCGCTCCCAGCCTAAGTTTTGCTCCTGGGCCCCACGGGAGAGGAAAACCGTGGGGCCGCTGGCTGGCGCACGCGATGGTGCTGTAATCCCGTCGGTCACGGCTGCCCCTGGGCTCAGACCCGGAGAACACGGGGTCGGCTTTAGCACCCCGCTGCAGGCATTTGTAGATGGGGGTTTCCGTCCCTGGCCCACCTCTCGGGGAACAAAGGCTCTGCGGGGGAGGGGGGTCCCGGGACTTAGGCAGAGTGGCTCACCAGGAAGCTGAACTTCCACTAGGCATAGCAGATGCATGATACAGAAACTCTGGTATCAAAAACTCCAAAGCCGCCCCACCCACACCCCCAACAAAAGCCGGGACACAGCCTGCAGATTTCTCTATACGCGGGACGCAGCAGCAGGTGGAGCGCCACCTGAGCTAGCTATCCTGACTCAGCAAAGGCAGAGTCGCTCCCAAAGTCCCCCCCGCGCGGTGACTTCCTCGGCCGGCCGTGCCTCGGGCTCTGCCTTTGTAACCCCGGGATAAGAGCTGTACACACCTGAGAGAGTTCATTGCCAGGGCTTAGGAGGGTCCCTTTTGGGGGAAGCCTCACTGAGCGCGCGTGCCCCGTCCATGCCAGCTTTTTTTTTTTTTTATGATCGCTGTTGTGAGTACTTTGAACACTAACATCTGTAACGTATACTTCTTGATTATACGCATCTTGATTGTAAAACAACCCAATGCATCTACATCCGGAACTGTCCCGCGCATGAACTCCCAAACCCAAATTGGCGGCGACGTCTACAGATGGAGCACGCACAAGAACACGCAAGCACACACGCACACACACACACACACACACACACACGCATCCGTCTGACACCTGCGGGGCTCGGCGGCACTGCTGGCGCTCCCCTCACCGGCACACGCAGGGGCCCGGGTCGCCCCTCACAGCCACGCTCTTGGCTGGTTGCCGTGAGGTCAGATTTGGAAACCAGCGAGGCAGAAAGCGCGCGGACGCGAAGCGTTTCGGGCGTCTTGCAGCGCCCGAAGGCGGCTGCCTGTCTGCCGTCTCGGAGGGGAAAGGTCAGACCTGGTTTTTCCTCCTAGGAGGGATTTTTTTTTTTTTTTTTTGAAGGGCCTGCACGTCTTTAACCTTCCCCACAAAGAGTGGCTCCCAACACTGCGCCTTAGCGCAGAGCAAGGCCCTTCACGCACGCACCGCGCGCGCCCGAGTGCTCACACCCGGCTCGGTTCCTTCGGGATTGCTAGGGCCTGGGAGGAGGGGGTGCGGGGTCATGACCCCTGCCTCTGCCCCTGCACGCCCTTCGGCCCCTGCAATTAGCGCCGGGAGGTCAACAGGAACCTTCACCCGCGGCTCCAAGCGCAGCCAAAGGCGACCCCAGCCCCTCCCCTCCGCCGGGCTCCGACGCCAGGGCTCAGCCAGGCTGGGGGCCGACCTTCCCGACCGGCGGGCGGGGGACCCCGGGAGCTCAGGCCGGCACCCGTATTTGTCACCTTCAATCTACAAATCACGGAGTCGCTGGGCCCTGCAGGCTGCGGTAGCTGACCATTGCCGGCGACCGTGAGGCCCGCTGCTCCCTCGAGCCGTGGCCTTTGTCCCCGCGGACGAAGCCAGTTTTTTTTTTTTTTTAATACACACGCGCGCGCACACACACACACACACGGAAAACTTTCACAGTTGTAAAGCAGGAGAGTGCCCAGCCAAGGAGGATCCATGCCCGGGGTGGAATCCGAAGCGTGCAGGCTGGGGACAGGGTCTCCCTTCCCTAGCCACGCATCATGAATTCACCGTGTCCCCAGCCCGGCGGGGTCCTGGGCAGGGGTCCACGGAGATTCCCAGACGCAGCGGCTGGGCCCCTGGCGGGAGCGTTAAACACAGAAGCCCTTCCTCCCCTGCGCTTCCAAGCGCTCCAAGCCAGGCCAGGAAAGATCTGCTTTTCTCATCTGAAGCCCAACAAGAGCGAACGCGATGTCCGGGAAGGAGGTGACGGCGGCTTCTGCCCGCGCAGGGGAACGGGGAGGCGCAGGGAGAGGGGCGCGGGCTGGGGGCGTCGAGGACGACCAGGGGCAAAGGTGAGGAGCCCGAGTTCCGGGACCCGGGAGGCGCTGGGGTGCGGGGTAGCCGGCGGCGACCAGGGCGCATTGGTGGGCCAGACAGATAGGTGGCACTCGAAGCCTGGAGAACAGGCGAAGGCGCCGGCCCCGAGTGGCCTCGGCGGCCGCCGCCGCCGCCACCATAAAGCCCGCGGCGAGATTGCGACCGGCGCCAGGTGAGTAATAGGCAACGAAATCTGGAGAGATTGCGAGCCGTCCACCCCCTGTCCATCAGCGCCACGACGGTTACTCATTAACTCCACTATATACAGATCAGATCGACCGGAGATTAAAAAATGGAGAAGAAAGCCTGGAGGGAGGCCGGGCAGTGTCCCCAAATTCAGGGGGTGGGGGGCGGGTAGGCAGGAGGAACGCGGATCCGCAAACCCCTGCTTCCCTCCTGCCGGCTCCATTCTGTCCTCCCCAGGTGGGGAGCGCGCGGAGGGGCGCCACCGACCCACCACCGCCTTCCCCCGGCGCGGGCACCGTGCGGCTAACCCGGGCCCAGAAGCCGACTCCTCCAGCGGCTGCGGCTGCTCGGAGGGCGCGCGCCCCTGCAACTCGCTGCGCCCCGAGGGGGGCAGCCGCCGCCCAAAGACGGCTCAGGCCTCCCTGCGCCCCCAGAGAGCGCAGGAGGTGCCCTGGGGTCCCCATGCGGCCGGCCCGGGATGGAGGGGACTTTGCCCTTCTCTCCCAAAGGTCTCGACCCCCAGCCCCTTGCAAGGACAAGAGGGCGGGGAGGAGGCTCTTCCTTGCCGGGCGGTCAAGAGGCCCTGAAGGTGACAGGACGTGGGGCCGGGCTGGCGGGCTCCAGGCTGGGGGGTGGGAGGGTGGGGTGAGGGGTAGTCGGCCGCCAGGCAGGCTCCGGCCGGGTCCTCAGCACGCGGCCCCCGAGGCGAGAACCTCTCCTGGCCGCCCGGGTCGGCGCGCACACCTCCGAGGCGAGGCTGGGGGTGGGGGGCTGGGGTGGGGTGGGGAGGCCAGAAGGCCGCCGCCGCCGGCCCTACCGTTTTTTATTGAATGTTTCAAAGATAAATTGAACTTCAAAAGGCAACTCCCCCAAGGGCCTGGAGGCTGGCCGGAGGGGAGGATGCCAGCCTTGTGCGTGAGCCTCCCCCTGGGGGAGGTGAAACCTGCGCCGGGGGAAATCGCCTCGCCCTCCTGCCGCGGTGTCCCGGACTCGGAGAGCCGCCCGGGGTCAGCCGGCTCCAAACGGTGACGGCAGGGACGCCGAGTGCGCGTCCAGGCGCCTCCGCTTCTGGAAGCTGCGGGGCCGCCTCGCTCCCTCGCGGGGGTGGGGGGCATTCTGCTCGCCCGTTCCGTGCCAAACGCACCGGTGCGGACACAAGCAGAGGGGTTGGGTATTTAAAAAAACCAACAACAACAACAACTCGGATTCCCCCAGATCCATGTCAAAGGGAGCGCACACTTGAAACGCACGGGGTTCCCGGTGCCCGGCCAGTTTGGGTTGGATTCCGGTGGGCGAAGCCGACGTAGGGAGCAGCGCTGTCTGCTCTGATTAGCATTTAAGGATCTGAAATGACTGTTCTTTCCGAATTCTAATCAGGCCCCTTCCCGTCTCTCATTTTTTTCTTTTCTCTCTCTTTTTTTTCTCTCCCTAATTTAAAGGAAAAGTAATTTCAGATTGAAGCTGCTCCCTTCGCCGGAGTAAGGGACTTTGCTTTTTAGCTTTGTAACTTGAGTGACATCTCATTTCGGTTCACCTTAATTATTTAAAGGTGGGGGGAAGGGGATAGGCAAGAGACTGATCCTACCGAGGAAAGCACATAACACAAGGCCCATAGACATTTCAATAAAAATTTATTGAAATTTCAGTGATGTTTTAAAGAGAGAAGGGGGGGGATACAGAAAACCAAAGAACTCATCAACAGCTATAACACAAAATACACCTTCTGTAAGCTCCTCTGAGCACCTGACTTTTGGACTGTGAAGGCAGCGCTATAGGCACTAACTCAAAACACCATCAGAGAATTCCAGACACTAGCAAATAGAAATACAAAAGAAAAAAAATTACAAGTCAAACCACAGTCCCTTCCACCCACCCCTGGGGCCACAGCAATTTCAGAACCACGTTGGGGTGTTGTATTTTCAGGAATTTCAAGTGGATTCTGGAAGGGGCACACCCCCTCCCCGATTTTGGCTAAAATAGGAAATAGCACTCTGCCCCCCCCCCACAATCTTGGACTTTAAAAACAAAAGAGATCAGAAAAAAAAAAAAAACCCATGTTGCAGACAAGTGTGTAGGTGTTGGTGCACAGTGTGTTTTTTCGGGTGTTAACAGCGAATTCTGTGATTTGGAGATAAAACCGGCGAGGAGAAACAACACAAAACCTTACAGGTGCGGGCCTATTTACAGAGCTTTATACAACAATGTCAATAAATTAAAGTTTTCATTTTCCAAGCATTCATATTCCACCTATTTACAAGGGTTATCAAATAATTACATAAATACTTTGTCTAATAGTCTCGCTCCTTCTTTATTTTTTTAAAACCTTGTTATTGCATATACAGGAAAGAGAAAACTGTCAAAGAAACACAACAGGAATCCTGCTACAGAGATTAATTAGAGAAAATAAATCCATACTTTTTTCTGTTGTCCCACCCCTCTCCTCCCTGGGGGTGCAGGCTTGGGGGGAAGGGGGTGGGATGATGTTTCTCCCCTAAAAGCTCAGAGTTCAAAATAAAAACCACAAATACATGACTGGGGAACATGCAAGAGACCTATAGCGGCTCTTCAAACATCACAGGAGTATTCAAAAGACAGACGTCCTTACTAGACACTAAGCTAGGATGGCAGTGACACCCCTGGGTGCCCCGCGGTGCTCCCTCAGGGACCCCAGGAGAGTCGCTGAAGTTACTCATCTTCACACACAGAATCGCGTTCGTGTATGCATTTGTCCCCTTCTTTTAAAAAACAAAAAACAAAAAATTTGCTTTTTGTTTCCACTTGACACAGCGAAGGAAAAAAAAAATATATATATATATATATAAATCCACAGGGACCAGGAGGCTCTCCGCACCTCCTGCCCCTCCCGGTGGGCCTGGCTGCAAGTTGCCTGGGACTTAAATGTTTCCACTCCCACCCCCCAACAACTCGAGACCACAGGCGCGCTTCGGAGCTCCCCCACCCCCACCCACCCGCGGCTCTGGGGCTAGATCCAGGATACAGAAGCATTGCTAAGAAGCCAAGGCGCCAAGGCCTGGCTCTAGAACGTTCTGTCCAGGGAGGCCGGCACCCCTGGCCCCTATGACCGCCGAAGGGGACGGCTACACCCTCCCCTCTCCCCCGCGCGCCGCCGCAGGCCCGCTGGCTTCTTGGCCATCCCACAAAGTGCACGGCAGACTGGACTGGACTGGAATGGGCAGAATCCGGGGCGCGGGGCTCTAGGGGGACGAGCTGCGGGACCGGTCGGGCTTGGCCTCCAGGCCGCTGACCAGCCGCTGGATGCTCTGAAGTTCGCTGGTGGCCGCCTCCTTGTCGGCGCACAGCTTGGGCGACAAGGACACGGAGCTGGACGACAGCGTGGAGGAGCGGCTGTTCAGTTCCGAGCCCGAATCCACGGCCCCCGAGGCCGGGCTGGCGGCCAGGGCGGCGGCTTTGGCGTCCAGGGGCCCCGCGGCCGCGGCCATAGACGGCAGCGCGGTGCTGAGCAGGCCGCTGCTGTCGGGGACCGGCACGGGGATGGAGTAGGGGCTGTAGCGCAGCCGCGGGCGCATGCTGTTCAGGTTGAGGAAGGGGTGGCGGTGCACCGAGCTGGAAGCCGCCGCCGCCGCCATGTACGTGTACGGATAAGGGAACAGGCTTCCGAACGGCGCCATGGCCAGGCCCTGCGGAGGAAGAGGAGCGCACGCAGCGAGTCAGCCGAGCGAGCGGGGGCGGGGCCGCGCCCACCGCGCGCCTCCGGCCCCCGCCCCAGCCGGGATCCCTGGGTCTTTTGGAGGCTGGGGGTGGGGGCTTCGCTCCGTGTCACCCCTGCCCCCAGGGAGGGAGGTGGCAGGTAATTGGCACACTTCTTGGAACCAGCGCCCGGGGACAGGCCCGCGGGGAATCTCTCCCCGGGGTAAGTCGGGCATCTGTTAAATGGGACCGCAGAGTGCATGTGCCCCGGAAAGGGGGCTGAACAAAAACACGAGGGGAGGGATTATCAGACTCTGGGGAGGAAGGGAGGGTTGGCCTCCTTCTCTCTTACAGTCTTTCCTAGAAGTTTTCTAAAAGGGGGGGGGGGAGCTTGAGCAAAAGGAAGTGGGGGGGAGAGGAGGGAAGGTGCACCCAGGGGCTGGGAAGCAGGAGGGCCGCACTCAGCTGGGGCTGCAGGATGTACAATGCAGGGTCCCGGGCCCAGGCTAGTTCCCCCGTACCAGGTCTCAGGACGCCATCAGTGCCCCTGGGTGCACCTTTCCCGGCCCACCTGTGTCGGGGCTGCCAGGAGAAGCCAGCCAGAGCTGGGAGGAGCCCAGGAAAGCCAGAGGCCGGCTCTTGTCTGCACGCCCTCCCCCCTGGGCAGGGGAGGCGGCTCCTGCTCCAGCCTCCTTGGCCGAGAGAAGGGAGACGAATGCCGGCAGACAAAACAAAGGCGAGAGCCGCGGGGAGCCGCGGAGAACCTCTCTCTGAGCGAATGCAGCGGCCTGCCCTGCCGCCCTGTACCCGGCACAGCTGTGGGACCAGACGCAAACGCCTGCCACAGCCCCTGCCGGGCCCTCTCCGCTGACATTCCCCACCTGCGCACCAACCATTAACCCTTCACGGAACAGGCTAGGCTGCCCCGGCTGGAAAGGCTTCAAGGCCTAAGAGGGAACTCCCACCCAGGGAGCGACACCCCCCACCCCTGCCCCAGCCAGGACCCTGTTCCCAAGGGAAGGATGGGACTGGGAGACACTGCAGCCCTGCAAAGGCTGAGATGGAGTCAGATCTGCCAGTGCCGGCTGTGTGACCTTGGGCAAGTTACTTGACATCTCTGGACCTCTCTCCCTCCATCTGAAAATCAGAGCTCATCCCAGTACCATGGGAGGGTTGGACCAAGCAAGTGGGAATAGACCAAGAACCTGCTCCCTTGCTACTCCCCCTGGGAACTGCCCTCAGGAAGGCGTTGTAAAGATTTTCCTGGTGGGGAGGGGCCGGGTGAGGTTAGGAGGAGATAGATGAGCCCAGCACCTAGTCCTGGATCAGTCGTGACAATAATGAAGCTGCCAGACAAGGGGGCTGGGGGGAGGGCCCGGAATCCCAGGGCAGAGGGACCAGAGCCAGTGGGGGAGGGGAGGATAAATACCTGGGAAGCCAAGACGTGCTGCTGGAGGTGGAAGGGCAGGGTGGCGGCCGAGGCCCCGGACAGCCCCTGCGCCGCGGCCGCCGAGGCCATGGCGGTGGAATCCAAGCCCGAGACGCCGGTGGAGGCCCCGGACACGGTGGCCAGCAGGGGCCCCATGCCAGCCGCCATACTGGAGAAGGCGCCACCCATGGCGAACTGGCCGGGGTGCAGGAAGAGCGGGTGCCCGTTGAAGAACTGCTGGCCGGCGAGGCCCGGGGCGAAGCCGAGGCCGGGCAGCGGGCCTTGGGCCAGGTGCGCGGCGGCCGCGTCCGTCTGCACGGAGAGCGGCGCGAAGACCTCCTTGCCCGGCGGCGCGCGCGCCTCCTCCAGCTTGGACGTGGCCGCGCCGTCGCGGCCCGGGCTGCGGCGCTCCTCGGCGCCCAGGCCGCGGGTGCTGGACGAGATGGTGGCCGGGCTGTGGCGCGAGTCGGGCGATGCCTTGTCGGGCCGCCCGCTGTCCCGGGGCCGGCCGGCCGCCTCTGCAGCGAAGAGGTGCGCCTTGCCCCCGGGGCTGCCCTTGTCGCGGCCCGGCTCCTCCGACGTGGTGGTGGAGATCCTGGCTGCTTCGCAGGCCTCGGGGCCGTGGTCCTCTTTGCTCTCGGCCTCAGCGTCGCTCTCCCCCTCGCTGGGACACAGATCTACAGTGGGAGGAGGAAAGGAGCAGCCTAAAGTTAGGGCCTGAGCGCCGCCAACGCAGGCCAGGGCGCCCCTGGCTCACAAGTCTGAATCCCACCCAGCTTCCAGGCTCGGCAGCCCTGGGGGAGCCCCTCATCCTCACCTCACCTCAGTCTATGCATCCACAAAATGGGAATAAGGATCCTGAACAACTTGTGGAGTTCTTAAGCTCACAAGGAATTTCTAGTTTGGTGTGGAGCTTGTTCCCCACCCCACCCCCACCCCAGGGGCAGCTCTCTTGTTATCATGAACCTGACTTCTGTTTGTGCGAGGGTCCATTGCCCTCCTGCTGTATCAGCAAAATTTGTGGCATGTGTTTCTCCATCGTGCTGCAGGTCAACTTGAAGAATAAAAACGAATTTGCTCTGAAACTCAGCTGGACCACAGCCAGCCACTTGGAAGCGGCACCTTCCACAAGTGTGCGGGTTGTTGGGGAGGCCTTGTTTGGGGAGAACCCCGCTGCCTGAACTGGAATGAAATTCAGGCCCCTCTCTCTCCTCCCATGCTCACCCCCCCCACACACACACACAGCCTTCGTGTGTCTGTCCCAGCCGGGACGGGCAGAGATGGGCGCTCCCTGCTTGGGGACAGCCAAACAATCACAGCCTCTTTTTTGCTCTCACCACACCCTCTGTGGGTGTCCGACCAGAGAAGAAAAAGGGGCCCTGGTTTATGTTTAAAGCTTAACCGGACTGAAGACATGAGCTGCTATTGTTATTACACTTACAAACAGGTTCCTTCTGGTCGAGGGCGCGCGGGCCAACTTGCTCTTTTAACACAGGAAGCCCACTGGGGCTCTGAACTCTCTCTGCCAGCCCCACCCCTGCCCCCAGTGGGTCTCCCACCCATCCCACCCAGGTCAGCTGCTCTGGAGCTGGTGCAGGCCCTGCTCTCCTGCCTGCCCAAATTCCCTGCTGCTGGGGGGGGGGGGGTCAGAGACTCTTGGTTTGGAGGGAGGGAGGTGGGAGAGAGAGAGAAGCACAAACACCCCCACCCCCAGCCCAACCAGGCTTTGAGGGATGAGGTTCTGAGCTCTCCAGTACCTGCGGGCCCTTGGGGAGGGACACACCCCAGGGGCCACCTGTCTGGAAGGCACTCCCAAGGGCGAGTGTCAGGGCCTGTGCCCCTTCCCTGCACCGGCCGGCCAACGCAGGGGCCCAGGCTCACCTTTGAGGTTCGAGGTCCCCACCGTGGAGACGGCGGGAGAAGAGGCTTGAGCGAAGCAGCTGAAGGCGGCCTGTTCACTGGAGGACTCATCCGAGGTCCCGTTCTCTTTTTTGTGTCTTTCATCAAACACCCGCATGGACTGCAGGGTGAGCTGCTTCCTGTGGCAGAAGTCCCCACTCAGCATCACAGAACGCGACCCCCGGCCCCCCTCCTGGCTTCCTCCCCATCCCAGGGCAGGCGTCACCTTGCCTGCACGCCACCCAGGGGCCACCCCGATTCCCTGAACTCTGCTTGCCCAGGGCAACGCACAGACCCTCTGTCCAGGCCGCCAGGGCGGGGAGGAAGGAGGAATGAATGAATGAATTCAAGATCAAATTCAAGATCGGGGCGCCATCAGGGAAGGTCTGTGCACTTTTGTCTGCAGGAGCACAGGGCGGTGGCGGCCTCACAGAGCAAGGGGGGATGGGGTGTCTGGCCCTGGGGAACACCAGCTCAGCCTAGCAAACCCTTGCAAGGGCCCGGGAGGAAGTGTTTATTTCATGGTGCACTTCACTGTAACCGTTTCAGCAGCACATTAATTGGAGTAAAAATTTATTTAGATGTTAGAAATTATTTTTAATGCCTATCCCCTCAAGGGAATAGGTGAAAAATTGAGGGTGATTTTCTGGATTTTAGAAATTCTTTGACTAGGGGTGGGGGAAGGGAGGGCTTCGTGCACACATACTCCCCAGCTGTCTACTTAATGCAAAATGATACATGGGCCCTTGAAGGAGGGCGGGAGCCACAGGCTGCTCTGGGGTCCCCAGCTCTGCCTGATGGCATTTGGAAGGCAAAAGTACAAAAATTCCACACCATCTGTGAATATCTGGTCCTGTCCTGGGACCAACCCAGGAGGAACTTCCATTAATTAGGAACCAATAAGTGTCCTTATATAATCTGTGAGCCTTGATACTTTTTCTCCCAGAAATAACCGTGGCGTAGCCCAGTTAATTTCCTTCAAAGTAATAATGCATAAAAATGGACGGTGGCCCAAGGGGACTGAGTTATCTTCTATCCACTCTTCCCAATAATTCATTTCAAATACTTGAAAGCTGGGCCCCAGAGAAGTGGCACTTTCTCAAAATTATCTGAGAACGGAGTCCCTGTCTCAACTCACCTTTTTTCTCTCCGCCCATTTCCAGTGTCCCGGAAACCTTTTGCGAAAGGGTTATTGTCTATTTTTAACTGAGTTATCTAGAGGAGGAAACAGCAAGAGAGAGAGAGAAACATTGGCCTCAGATTCTGGGAGGTTGCTGGAGTCTTGCCCCCAACCCAAAGCCTCCTGGGATGGGTCAGGGGCAGGAGAAAGGGGGCTAAGATGGTGGCAGGAGTTTGGAGGGGGCCGTGGAGACGCCACAAGGAACCCTACCAAGACTTGTGTCTTCCCTAGGAGGCTAAACCAAGGATTCCAGGCTAAAAGGACCCAAATACGTTTTTTCTTTGGGCAGCTGAGAGCTTGGGTTTAGAAACAAAAACATCATCGAAATTGTCCACAGGAAAACCTGTAGCTCTTCAACTTGTGCTTTTACTTGGATTTCTTTATCCAGAGCAATTAATCATAAAATATATTGTGATGTTCTCCCCTACCTTCACACACACACACAGACACACACAGCATACACTCCAACCTTTTCCATAATCTAATAAAATGATTTATGGGACTTCACTACCCTTGTGCTGGAGTGAGTTTGATTTTTTTTTTTTTTTTTTGCTGGGGGTGGGAGGAGTGGTTTGAGGAATTACAATATTGACAATTACAGATTTAAAAGGACGGAGTGACCACTGGAAACATTTGTTTTCATTTATTTTCTCTGCCACCGCCATTAGGTGGAGAAGGCCCGCGGCCCCTTTGTCTGATCTGATCAAAAATGCTGCATTTTATTATTACATTAACAACTGAGTTTCCCAGGAATCCGGGTCCAGAGGGAGCCAGCACTTTGCAGGCTGAGGGAAAAGGCTGTAATATGGAAGCTTTCAAATCCCTTGCAGAGTTACTCAGGGATGGGAAAGGGCCCCTTGGTTGGGTTCTTGTTCTTGGAATACACTGCTGAGAGCAGGAACTTCAGAAGGGGTCCGGACTTAGGGAACCCTCCTGTCCGGTGTCCCCAGGGACAGTGGGCTTGCAGAAAGCCAGGGGCTGTCAGCTCACCGGCACTCCGCACTTGCACAAGGTGAAGAGCCCCCAGCCCCCCCCCCAGCCCCTGTCCAGCTGCGAACTGGTGGAGCGGCAGCAAGGGGCGCTCTCTGTGTCTCTTACAGTCTATGCCCATGACCTTTAGGCCACAGCAGCTCTAGACTCCAAGGGCTGCCCCATCGGAGGCTCCGTCTTCCTTCAGCCTCCAGGGGAAAGAAAACTTCTGATGAAGTGGGGACTTTGACCGTGTAAACTGAAAAGCAGGACTGTGATCAGGGTAGGTTATTCCAACCACGCAAGCACGCACGCACGCACGCGCACGCACACACACACATCATAAAAAACACAGCAGCATAAAAGGTAATAAAAACCAGACCAACTACTCGGGATTTCTGGGGAGCAGAGCTGGTCTCCACCAGGACGCTCCTTCCAGGATTCCCAGGGGCTTTTGCCTTAAATTGTTAGCTGATTCCTTGGGAACCTGATTTCTGGATCCTTCTTCCTGAAGGGGCAAAGGATGAACAAAGTCTGGAGGAGCGGCGTGGGAGAGGGCGGGGTTTGGGAGGGTGGATCGGGGGCGACCGTGGGCACAGGAGCCTCTTCCTGGCGCAACTGGCTCAGCGTTTTAAAAATCAGCATTGGCTTCTTAGCTGCTGGGGTTTTATTTTGTTCCCTTCCCCGCCCCCATTGTGGGTGCCAGCTCCCCTTTCTCACAGATATCGCGCGCACAAGGAAGGTCAGAGCCCCAGAGCAAGCTCAAGACACACAACCCCCTCTCTGGTAACTTTCTCAGTCAGATGCAGGGCAGATCAAGGGGGAGGAGAAAGACCATCCTTGGAAAGAAAGCCCCTCGGTTACCTTATCGTTCTGGTATGCAGTCACGGCGATGAACTCGGTTTCGGGAAACAAGTACGTCCGAAATGTACTATAAGGGAGTTTCAGGATGTCATTGGCTCTTACGATGTGGAACCGCGGCTGGTATTTGTGCATGGAGTTCAGTATGGTCTGCGGGGGAGCAGGAACGGGAAACACGCACACACAAACAGACACACACACACACAAAGGATTTAGCAAGACAGGCGGGGTCTCTCCAGCCCCTGCCTCAAAGCCATCTTCCCACCGCAGGGTGCCACACTTGGCCCGAGCCCACCTCCTGGGAGTACCTCCTCGGGTACGTTCGGATCTTATCTATCGGAGAATCCAAACCATGGTGCCTCAATTTCCACAGGGTCCCCCCCCACCCTCGCCAGCTAAGGTGCATTGGCACCTTGAACCCTAGCCTACCTGAGTACCAAAACTATAATTCCCCTGCCACGTTGCGTGATCGCTTGGGAAGGCCAAAGTCTTAAAAGATAGAGAAAAACATGCATTTTAATTTACAAAATGATTCAGTGCTTATAAGCGCCCACTAATTGACGCGCCCAATCCACTTAAAGCCCTGAACGACTGAACTCCAGAGTGGAATATTTATGCCTTAATCAAATCAAGAGCTTCAAATGCAATTCCTGCCCGCTGAGGATATTTTCGTGCCATTCACATCTTCCCGGGCCTGATCTCCATGCTTCCCCTTCGCTTATCACTGTTTATTTTATTGAAATGCTGGGGAGGGGTGGCCGCAGGGGCGAAAGGTCCTTTGCCTGACTTTTGCGGGCCACCCCAGTTCTCACCAAGTATCTTAAGCATTCCCACGCCGACTACGAGGATGGATGCACTCCACACACACACACACACACACACAAGCATGCACGCACCATGTTTCTACCAAGGATCTCGGGCCTCGTCTCCGGGAAACCTAACTCTCACCTAAGCCCCAATTATTTTCTCCTAGGAGAGAGTCAATTTCTAAAAATGTCCTTACACCCTTTAGCCAACATGAGCAAGGCTCTGAAGCGCAAACCCTCCCAAGAAATAACGCGGCTGGTTTCAAAACGCCACCGGCAGGTTTTCTCTTTACAACAAAACAGATCCTTCGTGCTGAAACTGACTCTAGGGCTTTGGTTTTTCTTTTTCTTTTTTCTTTCTTTCTTTCTTTTTTTTAACCCTCACTGTCAGGTCAGGCAGCCGTCTACCAAGGATCTGGGATCGGGAGAGACACAGAAGCCCGAGCAGAACGGCAGGCCTCCCGTGACCCACACAGCAACAGCTGGGAGTCCTGGTCTCGGGGCAGATCGACCGAGTTTGCTTGCATTAAAGCAGAACTCTGGGGAAAGTGAGGCAGAGAAAAAAAAGGCTCTGGCTGACAAGTGGAATGAGACTTACAAATCCATGCTTGTCCGAGATGTTGTTGGTGAGTTTCAGTTTGTGAAAGGTAACCACTTTGGACATCCACTGCTCTCCGGTGGCAGGACTGTCCGGATGAATGTACATCCTTTTGGGCATCTCCGGGTCGGCCTTGCCTGCCACCATCCACCGCGAATTGTGGAATTTATATCGGCAGTCATCTGCAGCTATAATATCCATCAGCAAAATGTATTTGGCTTTTTTATCGAGTCCTGAACATCTCACTTTAAATGGAGGAAACATTCGCCTACAATGGGAAAGAATTGAAAAAAAAAAAAAGGGAGGAGGAGAAAGAAAAAATAACAAAAGAAAAAGAGCGAGAAATCACTCAGAAGCTTGGGTTTGATTTCATCCTGAAATGTGTTAACCAAGTTTAAAACGTCCCACTGTGATGGCACACATCTGTTTTTCCCAAATAGTGCAACGGGGTTCAACATCATCTCTTTCCACCCAGAAGCATTCAACACGTCCAATGGCTCCAGTCCCAGGACCCAACACAGATGCACCGTGGCAAGGCACTGATCTGCACCCTCTAATAATCTCTTTCTCCCCCCGTCCCCGCAGGACTGCGAAGCCTGCCGCCCCCCTTTTTAGGGAAGTCAAGGCCTGTGCCTTATTCTGTAGGTCGCTAAACGCGAAAACAGCTCGGGGGGTAGGATTGCGGTGAAATGCGCTCACCCCAGGCCAGACTCTGCCAGCACCTATGCAGGAGAAAAAATGCTACACTTCCCCCAGGACGCGGGGCATCAGGTGGCACCCTCCCTGCCTCTGGCCGAGCCGAGCCGGGAGTCCCGCTCTGGCGAAATGAAACCGGACTTAGGAAGTTCTAACTCCGAGCTTCCCCTAGCGGGCTGGACTCCCAGGCCTCACACAACCCGGCTGTCGGCTGTGGACACAGGGATCCGGGGGCTCCCCTGGCTGCCGGCTCAAGTCCCCAGGCCCCTCCACGCCGGCCAGCCTGGGGCACCACATTGCTGCTGATCGCACAGAAGTGTTGGCAGTTCCCAGAAGGGAAGCCCTTCGCTGTGGAAACTGCCTAAATGCGCTGTGGCTTTGCGGAACACATGGTGCCAAACCCTGGTCTCACTTTGGAAGGAGACAGGAAGTTGAAGACATCAAGGGGGGATTTTATACATACATATAAATATATATATATATAGTTTTCTTTTAAATCCTTTCCTCTTTACGTCCGACTTCCATGCTGTTTTTAAATCTGATAGTCGCAGGCAAGCGTTGGGCCAGGGCAAGGAGTTGGAAACCTCAAGCAAAACACGGGGTAGGACACTCGCACCGACACAAGCGGTGTGCACAGCCTGGCTGGCTCCTCGGGTCTGCGAGCATAATCTTAATTATCCAAAATTGCCTGTTGAACTCTCCCTCCGGTCACGGACACGTGAGGCCAACAGCTCCAGCCGTCCTTAGATTTGGCCCTGACCCCTGGCAGCAGGGGCTGCGGCCCCCTCACACCCAGAGGCCCCCAAACTGCAGAAGGGCAGGCGGGGAGAGAGGGGCAGGCCTCCCACTCCCAGGCATAAGACAAGATTTGCACCCTCCCCGGCTCCCCGAACAAAATGAAACAGCCACAGGACACAGCATTCACAAAGAAGTCAACGGGATCCGGAATGGAGTGAGGGCTTCTTGGGGGGTAGGGGGGTTTCTGCCTCTCTGCAGGGAACCCCAAACCTCTGAGGGGGTGGGAGGAATCCTGTCTGCCCCGAAAGGAGCTATGCCGGCGCCCAGGTAAGCAGAACGGCCCGCCGCTGAGACAGGGCCCCGGGAGTCTCTGCACACTCGGTGCAGGCAGCTAAGTTTTCGCCCCAGCCGTAAGGACTGGCAAACCAGCTTCCTGGGAGGAGAGGGAGGGAGAGGCGCCTCCAGGGCCTCCGGCGAGGGGGCCTCCGTGGCCTGGGCGCTTACCTTCCCGACTTGGTAATGACCATCTCGGTGCCCCGCTTGTGGAACTGATCCCAGAGCTCTTTGGCCTCCAGGTGCACCTTGGGGTCGTCTTCCACCTCCTCTTCGGGCTCCATGGTCTTGAGAGGCCTCAGGTGCGCCTGTGGCCCCAGGGACGAGAAGGGGATGCCGGTCTCGGCCGCCCCTACCAACTGATCCATGATGGGCTTGGCCAGCGCGCCGGGCAGCGAGAGCGCCGCGGCGCCGGTGGGCGGCAGCGTGAGCGCGGGGAAGAAGGGCGGCTGGTGCCCCAGCACCGCGCTCATGGCGAAGTCCGGCGCCCGGTGAGGCAGAAAAGGGTGGTAGGCCATGCTGGTCCCAGGGATCACCGGATCTCTCATGGAGAGGTTCATGCACTCCGGGCGGGCCCCAGTCCGCGGCGGCTGCTGCTGGTGAGCTTTTGGTTTCTTGTCTTTTGGTTTCTTGTTTTGTTGTTCAACAGCAGCACATAGTTTTTGTTGTGGTGGTTGTTTTAAGAAAAAAAAAAAAGCCAAAAAAAAAAAAAAAAAAAGAAGAAGAAGAAGAAGGAATCGCAACGAAAGCACTTCAAAGGGAGGGGAGGGAAGTGCGTTTCGCAGCCAGAGCTAGAGAGGAGGAGGCGAGCGCCCGGGAGACATAGTCGCCGGCGAGTCCGGCCCCGCTGCCGCCGCTCCTGCAGGTTCGCTCTTAGAGGCCGGAGGCGCGGGCAGGGTCTGCGCTAGCGCCCGAGCCCCGCCGCTGCGGGCGCGGCGTCGCTGCAGCCCCGGGTCCCCGGCGTCCCGCCCCAGCCCCAGCCCCCGGGTCCTTTGTTGCCAGTGCGGTCGGCGCTCCTGGAAGACTTTCCACCTTCTCCCCCGCCCCCCTGGCTCGCTCTCTCCCTCTCCCTCGCTGGGGGCTTCCGCAAGCTGCGCCGGGCCCCGGCTTTCGCCCGGAGCGAGCGAGCTGCAAAAGTCTCTCGGGGGCGGGGAGGGGAAAAAATTAAAAAAAAAAATTAAAATCAATGCGATGGAAACCCCCCCTCTAGCAGCGCCGTCCGAATTCGAGCTGCGCCCAGGCTGCGGCTCGCCCTCCTGCTCCTCCGCTGAGCGCCTCCGCAGGCTGTCTCGGGCTCAGTCCCGGTCTTGCCGTACTTTTTCGGCCGGGCCTCTCTCGCTTCCTCGTCCTACAACGTGAGCGAATTCGCTTCCTAAATCTGCGTCCAGGCGCGCAGGCTAGGCGGGATTCAGCGAGGAATACGGAGAGGAGGGGGCGAGAGAGAGAAGAGAGAGAGAGAGGAAAGAGAGAGAGAGAGAGAGAGAGAGCGCGCGGCGAGCCGGCGAGGAGAGGGAGGGCGCGCGAGAGAGCGAGCGGAGCTCCGCGCCTCCCTGCTCGGCCTCCGAACTCCCCGGGGCGTCTGCTCCGCGGCTCTAGAAGCTGGGGCTGCGCGGTGGGCCGCGGGGAGCCGGAGGCCTCTTGATTGGCTCTTTGACGCTTTCGGACCAATTGTGTCGCTGCATAGGCGTGGTTTTCACAGGTCGAGTGCTGGGGGACAGAGCCGAGTTATAAAAAGAAGGTGTCGGAAACGGTAACGTCGCTGCGCCGCACCGGTCCTACTGCCTGTCCCGTGAATATGTCAACACGATCCGAGGGCGGGCGGGAGCCGCCGCGCGCGCCCCGAAGTCGCCTCTAGGTGGCCGATCCCGAGATCGCCGCAGCCCCCGAGCGCGCTCGCGCCCGCTCAGCCCACGTCTGAAATGCCTCGGTCCTCCAGCCCCGGCTCCCCGGAGGAGGCAGGGCCTGGGAGGAAGGGGGAGGGAGCGAGGGAGGGAGGGAGGGAGCGAGCAAGCGAGCGGGCGGGCGAGCCAGCCCGGCCGCGAAGGCGGAGAGCGCTCCCGGGCGCCGGGCAGGGGCGCTCTCCGGCCGCCGCGGCCCGGTCTCTTCTCCGGCCCTCGCTCTTTCCCCCTCCCCCGGCCCCGGGCGAGCCGAGCGGGCAGCCGAGCCTCCCCGCGAGCTGCCATTCGGCCGCTGCGCGCAACAAAAGCCGGCGGCAGCAGAGACTCCGGGCGTGCGCGCTCTGCGGCCCCACGTGGAGCCAAGCTCCGCCTGGCCGCCGCCGAGCGAGTGCCGAGCCCTGGAGTCTCGGCGCCCGGCTTCCTTGCGCCCGAGTCCGGGGACAGACGAGCACTGAGATGTGGCCAGATCTCGGCACGCGCGCATGGGGGCTCCCGTCTCCCCCAGGCCTCACCCGCAGCCATGTGCGGAGGACCCCCACCCGGGGCATTTGTACCAGAACACGCGTCCCCCAAAACACGTACACGCGAACACGTACACAGCCTGCGTGGCTGGCCCTGTCTCTGCGCGCACTCCGGGAGACAGACTCTCGTTTGGTTTTTTTGGAAATGCATTTGCTAGCCATTTTGCACGCGAGTCCCGTGTTGTGTTCCACGGGGGGGGGGGGGGCAGGCAGGGGAGCGGGGTGCAGAGGGAGTGTGCAGAGCCGCGCAGTGAGCGCCGAGACTGGGCGGATTCTGGGCCTGCCCCCTCCAGGCCGCTGCCCCCGGCGCTGCCGGCGAGGGGTGGGCGAGTTGCCTGGGGGGAGGTGCGCCAGTCTAGTATCTTCCCCAGGCATCGCGCTTATCTCTCGATGCCGCGGTTCTTTCTCCACCCGGGCGGGCACTTATCTCGCCTGAAGTCCGGGGGCGAATTTGTAAAACAAACCGTGAATCGCCCCCACCCCGGAGGCGAGGAGCCTGGTTCGAGTTCGGGCAGGGTGGGGGCCTAGGCGGAGGATCCGACCTGGCGCCCAGGTAGTCACTTTGTGAGTCTGCAGCAGCTCCCCTGCCGGGGTCGCTGGATTCCCCCACCCAACCCCGCCCCACCCCAGAGTGCTGCCTCCTAGGGGGCGGGGCAGGTCGCGAGTTGGGCGACCCTACTCAGATGGAGGGACATCCTGGGGACAGTGTTCTTTTACCCTTCCTGTGATGAGAGAAGGGGCCTGGGGGTTCGGAACACGCCCTGGGCCGGGAGCTCCAGAGCCGAGCAGAGCAGTCCTCGGTGACATTTTGCCCTGTGTAGCCCCCGAACCCCTAGCCCCCGGAGCCCAAGTGGCAGCGAGCAGAGGCTGAAAATGTGGACCAACCGCTCCAAGATAGGACAGGCACCTTCCCGGCGACAAGCGTCCCCAGCCTCGCATTTTTGCCGCACATGGTTAAGAGCGGAGAATTCCCCGCAGTCACCGGAGGGTTCTGCGAACTCCGTCTGGCTCGCCATCTCGCTCCTTTCTTTCCCTTTCGTTCTGTCCTCTCTGGTGGTGACAAAAGAGAGTAAGAGGGAGAGGAGAGAGCGCGCGCGGCCCAGCGCGCCGGCTCCTAACGCCCCCCTGGCGCCCCATCGCACAGGGTGCCAGAAGCCAGGCCTTGTCCCCCTCCCTACGCAGAACACCGAGGTCATCGCAGGGCTTTCCGAGGCAGAAAGCACCCCCTCCCCCCAACAGAGCTTGGGCCTGGGACGGCTTCGCTGCGCTTCCAAGGGCGCCCCCGCAGTCCCCGCTACCTGGTGCTGCGGGCGCTGGCTAGCCCACCCGCTCGGCGCGCGCGTGGAGCGCAGGCAGAGTAGCTGCAGCCACAGGGCACCCACTCCCCTCCTCACCCGCTCGGCTCCCCGAGCGGCCCCATCGCAGCAGAGCGGGTCCTGGGCACTCCGGCCTGCCTCGCCTGGGACCTGGGAGGGGTGCCTGCTGATTTACCTTGTAAATATCTTCACCTAGCTTTGGGCTGCACCCTCGATTGCCTGTTTTTGCCCAGGTACCTCGAACTTAACCCTGGGGTCACCCCAGAGCAACCACGCCTGACCCCCCCCTCCACTGCAGCATAGGAGGGAGGGTGGAGAAGAGGGAAATTTGCGGGGTTCTGAATCGAAAACGAGGACATCTTGCTAATGGTCTGCAAACTTCCGCCAATTACGACTGACCTCCCAGACTGGGCCCCAGGAGGCTCCTATTATGCCGGGCGTCCGCCGTAACTCTGGGATCAAAAGCGCGAAGGTGCGAACTCCTCTTGTCTCTGCGCGCCCGCCGGCCCCCCTCCCGGTGGGCGATAAACCCACTCTGGCGCCGGCCGTGCGCTGGGTGATTAATTTGCGAACAAACAAAAGCGGCCTGGTGACCACTGCCTTCGGGTTAAACATTGGCCAGCGCGCTCCGGAGACTTGTGCCAGGCCTGGCCTTCGGGACAGCCCAGGACACCGGCTAGTGCGGCCCCGGCTTCGGGCTGCAGCCGCAGGCTCCGCCTGGACTTTTCTTTGCTTCAAACCCTTGCGTCTTCTCTCCTCCTGCCTCACGTTCCACAAACACCGGGAGGGGGACCAAATCTTGGGTCCACAAAGGACCTGCAGAAAGTTTGATGTCTCCAAAATATTCCCCTACTTTTTCCAAAAAGAACTCCACACTGCATTGTAGGCCTGGGATTTTTTTTTTTTTTTAAGAAAAAAAAAAACACCTCTCTCCATATAGGGTAATGCTTGCAGCCGGCTGAAGGTAAAGGAATAGCATTGCACGGGTAGGCGAGTGTTAAGGGCGTGGGCTCAAGAGCCTGAAATTCAAGGTCGCGCGTGGGAAAAAGGTAGCACAGGCACAGCCAAATCAAGTGTCTTCAGCCAGGCCAGGGATGAGAGCAGGCAAGTTCAACGCCGGGGACACCCTGCGGGATCCCTCTGTTCCCCTGGGGCGCCACCAGCCTCACCGAGCCCTTTGTGACCGAATGGTGTTTATCTGAAGTTTACAAAAAAAAAGGGAGAGGAGGGGGAAAGGCTGGTGGGTAGGCGGGGTCGTTTACTTTGGCAAGTTTGCTGTAAATATTCGCGTCAGTGCGTGTGAGGTCTGGCCAGGGCCCGGGACACACTCGTTCCCTCTTCAACTCTCACCCCGGTTCACTGCCGAGTGCCTTTTTGGTGTCGCTAGACTGGGAGTTCTGTTGACACATGGACCCGTGTGTTCCCCCTGGGGTCTGAGGCCTAACTGAGAACTGTGCTGTGTGGGGGTCGGCCAATGTACAGACTCCCACCAGGGAGGCCGCCATTGCCCCCTCCCAATCCCCGCACCCCATCACAACTCTTTAGGTATGGATATGTTTTCAAAACTGACTCATTGCTTGCTGTGTGGCTCTTTCCGGCCAGAGTTTCCCCACTGGGGACTGGCTTTTTTTTTTTTTTAACCCCGGGGGAGCATAGGGGGGAACCAGTCCCTAGTTTCCTATTCAAAGCTCCTCCTGCAAAACATCAGGAGCACCCCAAAACCCACAGGCATGCATGAACGCCCCCAGACTACCCCCAAACACCGACTGTCCCACCTGCACAACCCCCTGGGCTACCTCCAGCCCTGACTTTCTCACTCAGTGCAGAACTTCCGCACACCCCGGAGCCTCTGGCTGCGCCCCACCTCTCCACCCGGTGCCCCTTGGTCCAGTTCAAGTCCCCCCACATCTCCTCCACCCTGGGCAGGTACAAAGCTCTGGGCTGCACCGCTCGGGGCAGGACCTCCACCTCTCTTTCTGTTTCTGCTTCTTCTGTCTTCCCCCTTTTCTTTCTGTCTCACCACCTCTCTGTCCATCTCCCCTTGAGATTCTTTGATCACGTGGTCTTTCTTACCCCTTCCTTCTCCTCCATCCCCCCCACCCCGCCTTGTCCACCTTATGCCCCAGCCTTTAACTCCTCTTGCTCTTTTTTAATTTGCTGTCTCCTCTTCTCCTCCTCTCTATTTCCTTGGTTCTCTCAGAATTTGCTTCTATCTTTCTAACTCAGGGCCCCTGCAGTTCCCCCGCCTTGGGCCTCCCCCCATCTTTCCCAGTCACAACAGACTGGAGGGCCTTCTTCCTGGGGTTCAAGCAGAGTGGGACCCCTCGCTTCCTAGGCTGGGACGAGATGACGTTATCTTGGGAGCAAGAAAAAAGTTGGGCCCATCTGTCTAGGTGGGAAGCTTCGCTGTCTCCTGTTGGCATCTCCAAAGCCAAGCTTTTGCCCAGGGTGGTTTGGCCCCCTTGGGGCTCCCTAACCTCTGAGATCCCACCCCCACCCCCCTCCTCATCTCCTGGGCAGCAGCCCAGGGTAAAAGGCTGCAAATCGGGCTGCAGAGCCCAACTCCCAGCTTCTGCCTGGCTCCAGCAGCACGAGCTTTCTAGCCATGCATATTTCTCCATCCCCTGACATCCTTCTAAATTATTGATCAGAGCAATTCAGTGCAGGAGTCTGCAGTGTGTGTGCAGGGGGTGGGGGTCGTCCAAGTTGCCGAGCTGGGGAGAAGTAGTATTTTTAGTATGAGGCTCACTTTGGCGCCAGTTGGTTTATGCTGTTTCTAGAGCATCATTCATTACACACTTAATCCATGCTTATCGTACCTCCTTTTAATGTAAATATGTTTTTGGCAGAGGCGAAATGAAAAGATCTCACTGTCCGTATTATTCTTGTTAGCACCTAGCTTTCACCCTGCAAAACGGCAAATTTGTACACAGCCAGTGATTTAGATAAGTTGGAGGGGAAATAAAGGAGGTAAGAATGAAGTGTGTGTGTGTGTGTGTGTGAGCCTGGGGATGGTGCTTTTTATACATCCGTGAAGGTTTTTTTCCTCTCCCTCTCTCAGGAAAAGGAACTAATTGTGGTTTCCTAATTTCTAACCCAATCTACATCTTCAATGCTCTCTTTGTGTGTGTGTGTGTGTTTTACCCAATTATGAAAAAAAAGATAATGCAATGGACATTACTTAGTCTAGCAGAAATGAATTCCCAAGGCAGGGGCTGGAAATTTTTCCCTCTTCACTTATCGGACCCAGAATCAGCGAGATGCAGGCCTGGAGCACTTTGAAGACCCCTCACCCCTCTTTCTTCCATATCCTCTTTTCCACTATTCATTCAAGACAGGTAAGGGGACAGATGGCTCCACAGTGTTTTATGCTTGGAATTTGACTTGTGAGGTGAGGAGACTCCAGGACAGAATATTTTAAAGAGGGTGGAGAAAAAAATATATAACAACCTGGTCTCTGAGCCCACGTGCAGGTCGTGGGTGACATCGGGGCGAGGGAACGGCTGGTGGTGGTGGATTCTTCCCTCCGTTCTTGGTGTCGTGGAGGTGCCAGGGTCCTGGGGCACTGGGGTCTGGTCCCAGGGGAGCAGTTGGGCTGGAGGGGATAGGGAGAGCTGTAAGTGAGAGGCCATGGCAAATTACAGGGCTGCTACTGTCGGGAGAGTTGACAGGCCCCAGAAAGATCAGCTCCTCCAGACCTGCTGAACTAACCATCCCCGCGCAGCCTCAGACACGTTTTCTCAATTTGAGCATGCTATCCATTACTATTTCCCGTACTGGGTTTCAAGGACAGAGGACGGGTCCCCAGGTGCCGATGTCCTCGCCCCGTGTGGATCTCCCAGCTGGACTTAGAGAGAAGGGAGGACAGAGCGGGCACTTCCCCCCTTCCCTGTCCTGCGGCGGCGGCGGCCTCGCTGCAGCTCCTAGCCCGCCGTCCAGCCTCTCCTGGGTCCCCAGAGGTCACGTTTTCAGCACTTCAGAAGGGGGTTTGCCTCCTCCAGGCTGGCACACTGGGCTTCAAGGGGCTCCAGTTCTTCCTGTCGCATGGAGACCTGACAAACTCCCATCCTCCCTGGCTGCCTGCAGTGGGAAGTCCTGCCCTGGCCTGCAGCTGTCCCTGCAGCTGTCCCTGCAGCCCCAGGGCGCGCGGTGGTGGTTCTGCCTCTCCCGGGCGACCTGGCTGGTAGGAGTCTGCAAACCCTGCCACCAAAGGCCTCTGTCTGAGGTCTGGACTCCAGGCCTGGCCGGCACCAGGCAAATTCTCGGGCCAAACTCGCTTCTCACAAACTTGGAACCAAGCCCTGGCTGCTTCACTTTCCTACTTTTTGCCATCCACCGAGCCTGTTTCGTGGCCACACAGGTGGTGAGAGAGAGATACAGCTGCTGCACCCCTGCCTCTGCCTCCATGACCTGTCCATCTGGGTGGCCCCACCCCGGGGAACAGCAAGGGACGGGGAAGACCCCAACTAAGTGACTGGATTCTGAGTTATGGTGGGTCCTCCTAGCCCCATCACCTCGGCCTGCCAATAGCCCAGAACAAAGCCTGCGTGTTTGTCAAGTGTCCTAAATGTGGTGGCACCGCAGGAGCCATGGGGACCTGCCTCCCGGCCATGAACGCTCAGGTGAAGGTCAAGGCCCGAGAGCTCTCAGAAGCCCTTGAAAGCGTGGGGCTCGGGATCTGAAGAGAGGACGGCTGGAGGAGCTTCTCTTCTCTCCCTTTCAAAAAATGTTGTGTTTATCTTAGAGCAAGGGGAGAGAGGGAGGCAGTGGGACGCGCACACAACGCAGCAAAGAGAATGTTTGGATTCGCCAGGGCTTTCCCTCTGTGCAGCTTTCTCTGGCGTCCGGGGCCTCGATGCATTTCGTGCCCAAGCCAAACACTAAAACTCGTTCGGGCCGGCCGAGAGGGACGGCCCACCGGGCCCTGGAACCTGGCCTCCCCTCTGCTCACAGCGCCGGGTTCTTGCTTCTCCCTGGCCGAGCACGACAGACGGCCCTGGAAGCCCCCACAAAGTCCTTTTGGGGGATGGTTTCCGCCCGGAGGGTGTGAGTGGGGGGGTCCACCTACCGTCCCCCCTTACCGCGGGTCCAAACGCGGAAGCTGAGCGGATCCAGGCCTGGCCGAGTGCGGAGCCGGGGAAGACGCTCCGGACCTCGGATTCCGAGTCTGGCGCACGGAGGTGGAGCGGGGGATCGGGCTCAGGGCTGGCCCCAGACACTGCCTGCTCCTCGGCGGAGGAGAGGGAGCAGGGGGGGTGGTCTCTGGGTCGCGCGACTGAGTCCCGCCGGCCCGGGAAGGGCGCACCGCGGGCAGGTAGCCCCGTGCCGGTTACCTGCCTGCCTCTCCCGGTGCCGGGGCGGGGCGAGGCGGGCTCCCCGGCGGGAAGGAGGAAAGCCCGGCGCACCCGGTCCGCGAGACTCGGGCTTTTGAAGAACGAAAACCGCGGGTGCAGGGGCTCAGTCCGCAGCCCCTCGCCCGCGCCCTCCTCCCCGGTGTCTGATATGCCTTTTCTGTCTCCGTCTCGCCGCCCTGGCGGCCCCCTCTGCTCTCTCTCTACTCGTGCGCAGGACAAATCCGGGGTGGATGGCAACGACCTGTGGCCGGGGGTACCAAAAATGAAAGAGACACGGAGGACCCTTGGCTTCAAAGTGGCGGAGAAGCGACCGCGAGGAGGTAGCTTCCCGGGAGGCGCGGGCGGGGAGCTGGGGTCGCGGCAGCGCGCTCGGCTCCCGGCTGGGGTGAGTTTTTAGGCTTCCTTCGCAGCAACTTTTAAACACGGGTCGGGCCGCAGCTGCAGCTCGGGGGAGCTTGCGTCCGTCTCCGGCTACCCGCGTGGACGCCCCTGGTCAGCGTTTGCCCCCAGCCAGTGCTGGGCGTGGGGGTGGGGTGGGGAGGGGGCGGGGAAGGGCCGCAGCCTCCCGCTCCGGACTCCCGAGGGGACGCTGGCTTGGGCGATGGCTCTTAGCGGCTTCAGGGTCTGAGTCTGCTCTTGGGGGTACCTCCAGCGTGGTTGGGGGCTGGGTTGGGGGCTGCTCTCCTTCCCTCCGCGCTGCGTTGGGGTGGGACGGGATTCGCTCTGCGCAGCCCGGCCCTGCTGGGGTGCCGGGGCGCGTTATTAAACCCAGACGCTCCGTGCAGGGTTGAGGCCATGCGGAAAAGATTTACAATTAAGCCAATTGGAGCCGAATGCAGCCATCAAAAGTTCGCAGGTGTAAATAATGCCTAGGGTTTTTTTTTTTTTTTTTTTTCCCGTTCTAAGCGACTTCATCCACCCCTCCTGCCCCCCGACTTAGCTGGAGTCCTTTTTTGTTGAGAAAAGCGGGGAAGAGGAAGCGCGGTGCGGCGAACTCGGATTTTTTTATTTCTCATTAAACAAGTTAAAATGCGAGAGTGCCTTTCGTCCTATGTTCGCGTGTTCCTGTCGTGGGCTTCCCCACGTCACTTCTAGAATTCCAGAGTTGCTGTAGTCCAAGAAAGGCCTTTTGGCTGTAGGTTGTACTTTTTTTTTTTTGGAAGTGGGGCCGATTTCAGTATAAACAGGGAGACTGGAGGTGGATGATACGGCCTCTGAGAGGCAGGGATTGGGTGGGAGGGGGCGAGAAGAAAGGCAGTGGCCTGTGGCTGAGAGGGAGCAGAGCGGGAGAGGCAGGCCTGGCTCCAGCGCGGGGCAGGGCCTCCTCCTGCAGGGAGAGCTCCGGGAGCGGTGCGTGGCTCCATCTGCTAGGCTACCTTCTACAACATTCTTTACACCTAGGAGCCTGTGCTGTGTGTTTCTAGAATATTCTTTGTGGGCACCAGCGTGTACCTATGGGCATTCCTAGTAGCCCAGAAGATGAAATTAAATCTCGGATTAAAAAATGCGTTGCAGTCACACCCCACGGGCAGACTCCTATTTGATCAACGCAGACAGAGTTAAATTTGTTTTTCGGCTCCGCAGTTACTCGGTTCTCTCAGAGCAATAGAGCCAGTCTGTTACAAATTACCGGGGAATTGGAGAATATGCCCCCCACCCCCCACCCCCTGTCGTTTGCTGCTTGTAGTCTCGCGCTAACCCACTCAATAATATATGTAATATGTGTGTACACAGGCACTTTTCCAAAAAATTAGCGATAACATTCCGGGTAGATGAAGAGTGGCATGGGGGCTTATTCTATTTTATTTCATTTCTTTTCTCCCTTTGCATTTAGAATTCGGGGCACGCGAGGCGGCCACCGGAGACCCGGGGCCAGGGGCACGGACGCCCAGCGGGCCTGGGGCGGTGTGTTCCCCAGCCGGAGCTGCGTGGAGGAGCAGGGCATCACAGCGCCTGCTCCAGCCGGGATAAGGTCATGGGTGTAGAATGAGGGAGGCAGGACTTAACATGTCCGCGCCCAGGGCCGGGGAGGAAGCCCCCCGAGCCTGCATCGCAAGCTCCCTGGCGGCGGTGCAGCACTTCTGCCCTCCTTTTGAAACTTTCCTGCCCAGTGCAAGCGTGGTGCACGAATTAGAGGGGACCTGAGCGCTGGGTGAACCCGCATCGGTCTTCAGCGGGGTGGGCTGGGCGCGGGGAAGCGTGGACGTGGAGGTGGCCTCGCTCCGCGGGCTGGCGTGGAGGCCGCGGCCGCTTTCCGTCCCCGAAGCCGCCACCCCTCGCTCCTGGGCAGGCTCGCCCTGAGCCTTTGCGCGAGGCGCCCTTGCGGTCTGGCCGCTGGATGGCGCTCGGGAGCGAGGCGGCTGGCGGACGGGCGTCCTCCGCGTGTCCCCGCAGGGCCTGGGCGAATCGCCGCCGCCGACGCTCGCGCTGGGACGCAGCGAGAGAGGGTCACCCCAGACTCTGCCCAATCTTTGGAGCCGGTGAGGCTGGGGAAGGAGAATTCTTAGGGCAAAGCTGCGCCTCATTGTTAAAGCTCCACCTGCACCAGCTCCTGTTTACCGAGATCGAAGTTGGGGGTGGGGGCAGAGCCTGGTAGGTGTGGAGATGCAAAGCAAAGTGTGCGTGGTTTTAGGGAACTCCTGATCCCGCGACCTTTTCTGCACCCTCTCAGGTCCCTTCGATGACCATTGGAGCGGCTGGCCCTACCTGGGACTGAACAATGGTGCTTGGAACTGGGAACCCCAGGGCTGAACAATGGTGCTTAGAGCTAGGAAGTCCAGGGCTGAGATGCACTGCCCTCTCTGGTTTCCAGGGTCCCTTAGGAGGTGGCTGCTGCCCCTCACCAGACCTGCCTCTGTGGCTGATTGAGAGGAGCTCTGCCCGGGTGATCAGCACCTCGCTGACCGGCTATTTCACAACAGTTGGTTGCTGTTTGTAACCTTGGGAAGAATAAATTCGTCCAGTCCTTGTTCTGTGTGCCAGGCAGTGTTCCAGTTCATTCTGTGTTCCAGGCACTGCCTTAGTCTTTATGATCTTGTCTGGAATTACTTCCAGAGCTGGAGGGGTAGGGGAAGGCTTGGATGGGAGAGTCTCCCGGTGAAATCCAATCTGAAAACTCCTGGGTGCCCGGGACTCAAGTCCAGCTCTGATCACAGAACTGCTAGGTGCTCATATCGGGGAGAAAGTCGAGAAGAACGGGAGAGAAAGACCGCACAGGGCATTCTGTCTGCTCTGGAAAAATAGAAGACCCCTTGGAAGTGCTTTAAGAAACAGCGAACTTATTCACTGCCCCAGCAAATGGACTCGGATATGTTAAATAAGACAGAACAAGTCAACACCAGTCACAAGCAGACCCATAGGAAGCCGGCAGTGGAAGAAGCTTGTAGGATGGATGAGAAACTCCACTTTGTTACTCTGCAAATATTTATTGAGAGGCTTTGAGGTGCCAGATACTCTGCGGAGACTCCGGGGGAGTCAGCTTGTTGTAATCCCCCCTCCCATCTTGCGGAAAATATATATTGTGCCCATTTGGAAGAGGAGGACAGTGGAGGCTGAGACACTCGCAAAGGGCGCAGAGGCCAAAATCCAGCCGCCCAGCTCTAGCGCGTGCTGCAGAGAGGTGGGGCTGGGGAGCCTTGGAGACCCCGATGGCGCTCCTGGCGTGGTGGCCGCCGTGGCGTCGCGGGCCTGCCTGAGCGCCAACAGGTGCCTGAGTCTACCCCCCTCTCCCCACTGCTGGTGCGCAGAAAGGCTGCTCAAGCTCCACGCGCCCCCGCCCAGAGCCAGGACTTGGAGCCTCCAAGCCCTGCGTCCTCCCGTGCGTGCGGGGCGGCGCGCACACCCACACCGCGTTTACAGCGGGTGCGGCTGCTTTTCCACAAACGGGAAACTGCGGGCAGAGAGCTAGGGAGCCTGGCCCAGCGTCGCACGGTCAAAGAGTGACAGCAAAGAAGTGCCTGTGACCCCTCCCCCACTAGGGTTGTCAGTTTCTGTTAGGCTGTCCCCTCCCCCCTATTAGTACCCCAAGGCCCAGGGGGCTGAGTAAGCTAATTCTTGTATCATTTTAATTTTACAAATAGAACAGATTCTCTCAAAATGAATGGGTAAGGGGGTGGTGGGGGAGTGAAGCTCGTTTCCCCGCCTCGCGGCGTGGACATGGAACCCGCTCGGGGCGCCCGCCCGTCCCCCGGTGTGGCGGGGCGGTTTCCCGCGCCAGCCTCGCACAGGCGCCTGCGATGTTCTCCTGTCTGTTTTTGTCCTAGGCTTCGTTCGGTTGATCGATGAAGGCGTCAGGCCGGCCCACCATAAAGTCAATGCAATCGATGCGGACGTCCACGACCGCTCGAAACAGAGACCTCTCCCCGTTGCTGCGCGCTCGCCGAGTTCCACGCAACAGGTCTCAGGACTCAAGGTTTCTCGTTCTAGCCAGTCGTTTCCGAACTAGAGGCAGCTGGGGGTGGGGTGGGGGGTGGGCAGGAAGAAGCCTCTGGGCCCACCCGGCGGGGAGAGCGCCCCCTCCTCCTGCGCTCCCCAGAGCCCCTGGCCGCGCCAGCTTCCACCCTCCCGGGGTGATTTCGTTCAGGACTTGGAATCCGACACCCGCAACGTCGCGCGCCGACTCGCTCTCCTGAGCTCCAGGTTCCACACCTGCGAAATGGGTTTGCTACACCGTGCGGTTTATTGGAGGCGACGTTTGGGAGATCCTCACGAGAAGGACCGCGTTTTTCTACACTCGTTAAATGCAGCAATCAGAGCGGGTGGGCTCCCCATTTCCTGGACAGGGAAACAGAGTCACGGGGCGGGGAGTCGTACCGCTCCTCTCCGAGGGAGCTGGGGATCAACCAGGGCCTGCCCAGCTCTTTGTCTTGGCAGGAGGCGCGCACAGTGGGGATTCCTGTTCTGCACTGCCCTTTTGGGGAAGAAATTCCAATAAACCCTCCATCGGGCGGTCTTGCCCACTACCCAGGTCCTTTGGTCAGTCCATCAGGACGCATATGCGGTTGTGTGCGTGGGTGAGGGGGCACGGATGGGACAAAACCTTCTTAAAGGGGAATCCACTTCATTCGAGACTTTTTTGGGGGGGGATACAGAGGAAAGAGGGAGAAGTATGCGTGCGCGCGCGCTCCTGTGTGGGCGCGCGCCCGTGTGCGAGTGTCTATGCAGGATCAATATGGCCCAGACAGCCCTTCACAAAGGGGCTTCAGGCGGGCGCCTCCGCGCCACAGCGCCTGCCCCACCGCCCGCGGCGAAGTAATTGGGTCCTGAAAGAAGGGGCATCGAAGCTTCCAGTTAATTAGTCAAGAAATGAATCAAGTCCCAGCGGCCTGGCAAGCGCTCCCGAGGCGCGGGTTTTGTGCAAACCAAATTGATCAGTGGGCCGCTCCCCTCGGGCCGGGTGGGGCGCAGCGGGGGACACAGCTGGGACGCCTGAGCTGTCCTGCACCCAGGGCGGACGCGCCAGAGTGCCCGGCTCTAGCTTTCCGTGTCTGGCAGCTCCCTGCCTCCTCCTCCCCCCTCCCCCACCACCCTGTCTCCTCTCCTCTCCCTCTTCAGCCTTGGCTGGTGCCTTCCCCGCTCCCCGGTCCCCCCCCACCCCACGCTTGCAGAGCCGCTGCTTCCGCCCTCTCAGAACTTCCCTGGCCAGGTCAGAGCGCTCCCCCGAAAGTCCCAGCCTCAGCCCGCCAGGTTCTGGGGCCCGGTGGTTTGTCGAGGAAGCGGAGGACAACGGTTGGAAATGAGCACCGGCGTGGGCGCCCACAGGGCTGCGGTGTGGGCCAAGGTGTGGCTTCAGCCTCGGGGCTCCCCAGGCGGGTGGGAGAACCCGCGGAGCCAGCGTGCAGGGCTGTTGGTCTGGGTCTTCACCCAGTGAGGACCCTGAGTCCCCGGAGACCTGCCACCCAGGAGCACCTGCTGTAGTCCCACCTTACTCTTCCTGAGTGAGCACCGACTCCCTCTGTTCACATCAAACAGGGCGCAGATCCTAAACTTAATTATTTCAAGGCCGTTTTGTTCCCAGTACCGGCTGCTCTTCCCCTAGGGACTGAACTCAGAGTTCGGAGAAGTGGATCCATTTTCCTGGAGTCAAACGGGGTGGGGGGGGGCGTAGGCTGAAGGTCCTATTCTCTAGCCAGGAGTCGATGCCCACCTCTGGGCCCTAGCGGGCCGATGTCCTCCCCACCCCCAGCCGCCCCCTGTAACCAGATGCATAGGAATAGGGCCCCGGGCTGCGGAATCGCCTGGCCTCCTGCAGTGGCGCTAAGGCCCTGCGGTCTCCCATTTGGTATCTATCTCCCAGCTCTTTCCGTGAATGCACGTGGAATTCGGACTTGCAGGTCGGGGTCAGCACCTCCACCCTTCCCTTCCAGGTCTCGGGAGTCTGGGTTGGCGGCTTGGAGCCGCGCACAAGTGACCCGGATCTGGTTTCCCCTGCCCGACCCTCAGCCCTTCTCCGTGAGCACGCCCGTGGGATCCCGGCAGAGACCCCTGCGGGTTAATCGGAGAACGCATTCCAGACAGCAGCCCGGAACGATGGTTTTCCTTTCTTCCTTTGCCCGCTTGACCGACTTTGGCTCTGCTCAAAACCCTGCGGTGCCCGCGCCGCGCTTGGCTTCGCTTCCCGCGGACCGCAGGAGGCCTGGGACTGCGGCTTCTGCTCGCCACATCCCTGCCTGGCGCGCACGCTGCAGCTTGGGTTGCTTCCTGCGCGCACCTACCGCCAGCTGCTTTGGGTCTCAGTTTCCCCCCTCTCCTTTGATGGGGAGGAGTCGCGAAAGGGCTGGTGGGGCAGGGCCCTGCTTCCTGTGCGGAGGGGCATACAGACTGGAGTAAAATCGCTGAGTGGCTCCATTTCCACTTCTTCCTTCTCCATCTGCACGCGCACCAGAGAGGAAACGCGGGGATGTCTTGCTTTCCATGCTGGGAAGGGGGTCCACCAGCTTCATGACGGCAGGCTCCTCTAAGTGGGGTGCACAGCCGGTGGACCTCAGTAGGCAGTGATGGGGGCCCGGCTGCACAGGCGAGGAGGATGGGCCGGGTCCCAGCCAGCAGGTGCGTGCTTCCCCAGGTGTGGGTGAGCTTTCCTGTGCACCTGCCGGCCCCACTACGACTGCGGCTGGTATTGGTACCTTGGGAGATCCTGTCATGGATAGAGCTTGGGAGATGGCATACAGGAGCTACTGGAGTCTATTCACTTTATGTCTCTGTGACCTCCACTGGGAAATGGAACCAACAGGTCCTGCCAGAAGAAGGAAATGAGATCATGTGTGTGCATTGCTCAGCCCAACGCCTGGGCCCTGGCAAATGCTCATGAGTCATAAGCTGTTTGGGCACAGAAAGTGCGCATGCGCGCACACACACCTAGAAGGCTGCTTCGCACATCTTCAACCCTTTTTGGGCTCTCAGGATCTCCAAGCGGGGAGGGGCCCTTTCACCAGACTCAGTGTCCCTGCTGGCCTTCATAGCTGGGTTTCCTAACTCAGAGTCCAATCTGGTGCCTTGTCCACCATCCCCGTTCTGCCCCCGTCTTCTCTATCCTCTGAAGTGAAGCGGCCAGGAGCGGGGGTGGGGGAGGGGGGAGGGGGATCCTCAGATCTATTGAAGTAAACAGCGGAGGGAGTTTGGAGAGTCCCTGGGGTGAGGCCCCCAGTACTGAGAAGCCCCGTAAACGAGGAGGGGCTGCAGACGGTGGAGACCAGAAGGGACTTCTGACTGCTGGCTGGGGCACTCTCAGCGGGGAGACTGTAGCTGCCCAGCTCCTCGTCAGCAGCAGGAGCCCACTGCCCCCCGCCCCAGTCCTCTGGGGCACTGCAGATTCACCAGGGGACAAGGAGAGGAGGAAGGTGAGAGGAAGGAGAAGGATGAGAACAAACAGTGGAAAGTTCGAATGGAGTGGGGGAGAGAGAGGAAGAAAGACAGGGAACGCAAGAAAGGTAGACAGGTCCCAAGAGCTGGGAAAGCCTTTTACACACCCAGAGACTGGGAGAGGTGAGGCGCGGAGAGGAGATGGAGGAGAGAGCCGGAGAAAGAGGAAGAAAGACAGTCAGGCTGGGGGTGGGGGTGGGGAGAGGACCTGCAGAGAGGGAGGAGCAGGTGCCTTGGAGACTGAAAGAGAAGCACCCAAGACTCGGGAGACAAAGAAAGATCAAGCAGGGGCGGAGAAAGTGGGAGATAAGGAGGGACCTGGGAGGCAGCAGTCTGTCCACAGGAGAGAGGAGGAAGAGCCCGGGGAAACGCACAGCCCGGGCAGTCCCTGGCCCACCCGCGGGAGTATTACTTAACATGCGGATGGGGTTATCTTGCACGGAGTAACTGCCTCCATTAAATCACTAGTGAGCTACTCAAACCCTCCAATCCCTGAAGTAGCCTCCAGCCCTCGGGGGAATGGGGTTCTGAAACCCAGAGCAAGCAGATACAGCAACTTAGGACAGCAGTTATCATTCATTAGGGGTTGGGGGGGGGGAGCCCTTGGGGGAAGAAGTCACCACATTCCTCTTTTTGCCATTGGCTTCTCCTGGAAGCTTCTCTCTTTCTCTAAGGCAGAGATGCACACAACCCCCCAGGGAGCTCTGGCGGGGTGGGGCGGTGGGGGTGGTAGGGCCTGGCTAGGCAGAGATGCACACAACCCCCCAGGGAGCTCTGGCGGGGTGGGGCGGTGTGGGGGGGGTAGGGCCTGGCTAGGTAGAGATGCACACAACCCCCCAGGGAGCTCTGGCGGGGTGGGGCGGTGGGGGTGGTAGGGCCTGGCTAGCCCCTCGGGAGGAAGTGGGATTCTCCCAGGCAGCAAGGGGCTGCACGGTTACCAGAAGCTCCCCCTGCAGTGCCCCTCCCATCCCCCACCCCCACCTTGGGAAAACAGGTTTTTGTTCAACCAGGGGGGAGGCTGGTGAGAGATGAGGAGGAGGGTTAGATGCTAGAGCTAAAGGCGGGGCTCCCCGCCCCCTAACGCATCACTCCAGCTAGTTCAAATAAGCCCTAGCTCCTCTTGCCCCTCTCCGCCTCCTCCTTGCCTCACCCCCTCCCCCGTCTGCCAAGAAAGGTATTTTAAAAGGGACGTTTTCATGGTCGAAATAAAAGGATTTCTTTTTCTTTCTGTCTCTCCCAGATCCCCCCCCCCCTTTTTTCCCCTTGTTGCAAAGGCTTGTGTTTGCTTTGCTTTAACAAACAGCTGATAGAGTTTACTTTAAAGGGAGCACTAAAAAAAAAAAAAAGTGCCCACAGGGCAGGCGAGGCGGTAGCTGTGAGCAGGCGCATCCGTGAGTGAGTGAGTGAGTGAGTGTGTGTGTGTGTGTGTGTGTGTGTGTCCTGAGCAGACTTGCCGTAATAAATGGGACCTGTTTCAGGTGCAGAAAGCTGGGAGGGGTAGCGGGAGGAATGCATGGACGGATTTACACCTGTCCCTACAGCTGCTATCCACAGACTTAAAGCCTCCAGAAAGGACCCTTGGTGCCGACTTGTCTGGAAGCCATCAGGGTTAGTTTTGAAGCAGGAATCTTGAAGTGGACCCGAGGGTGAGCTCTGCCCCCTCCCCCCCACCCCCTCCACCCCGCATTCCCTGTTGCTGTCCTCAAGTGCCGCCCAGGTCCAGCCGCCTCTTGCCCTCTCTGCCCACGAGCCCCGCCCTGCCTGCCTCCCTCCCCAGTTCCTCGGCCAGACAAATATCATCGCTGACTTTTGCTCCCTTTGGTGCTGCCGCCCACTGAGGGCTGAGCAGGACCCAGGGTTTGCAGCCAGCTCAGGCCAGAATCTGGCCCCGGGAGGCTGTGAGGGACTCCTGACCCTGCCCTGCCGCCAGGGACTGCCCCCTGCCACCGGCCTCGCTCCAGCCCAGCGGCCACACAGTTGAGTGACTGATAACATCCAGACACCCCTGGAATCTTGCTTGCAGTCCCCGCAGCAGTGGGCAGCAGGCGCCCTGCCCTGACACTTGTTGCCACCTCTCAGAGACTGATGAAAGCCCCACTCA